TATATATATTATGTGTAGAAAATTGTACTCAATGGTATTGTAAGCATTCAGTAATCTATAATTTGCTGCACTTTGTCTTGATACTGAAAACTTTTAGGGTGTATTCTACACTGTCCTTCCTGTGATTGATTATTATAGTCTAAGGCTCACAGGCTTATTTGATTCAGGAAAGCCTCTGGGAATTTCTGTGAAGGAATTAAAGCAAAGGGCTGTTCCAGTTTCTCTTGGATGTTTGAGGAAACAGTTTAACAGTCCTTCAGATTATGAATCTAGCATTTTCTTTGACCTGCTAATGCAAAATAAATGATGATACCCCGCTTTATTAGGTTAATCAGTTTGTCAAAAAATCACAGTTGCACGTTTTCAGTGTTTAGAAATATTCACACTAGCCATGGTTAATTAAACTTTAGACAAAACAGTTTTTTGCTGCTTTTTTATTTTCATGTTATTACTATAACTATAATAACTATAATTTTTATTATGTAACATTATTAAATTTTGTTTTTAATAAAAAAATTACACAAAGTAAAATGTTTTTGTGTTCATTCTAAACTGAGGATGTGTCTTTGTGTGTCTCCCCACCTCCTGCACAGCTGTTTGATGCCTCCACTCACCGAGCTGCCTTCCTGCAGTGCCTTCGTTGGGGAATTTGGTGCCCCTTCCAGAAACCAGCTGTCTGGAAAGACAAAGAGATTCAGCTTGTTCTGCTTGGAGGTGCAAAGCCAAACCCTTACGGAGCGATGGTCTACAGCACAGAGACCTCCAGATCTCAGAGTCTTAAACCAACTCCTGTTTCCAGCACTGTGCAGGTAATGCAATGACTCAGAGGGAAAAGGTCTTTGTCACTTTCTTGTTGGATTCAAGTTTAGAGAATGAACAGAAAGATCTCCAAAATGTGTTTCAGCACCCTTTTTTGCACTAAAAATCAATAGTATTATAGAAAAATAATTGTATCATCTTTTAAAAACAGTCAAAAATGTTAAAAATTGGGCTTACATTATGACTAAAGTAATTTTACACTTTTGCTGTGAATATTCACTCGGTTATAATAAAAAAAAGAAGAGCACATGTTCCCATCTCTTATAGTATTCTCACTGACTCTAGCTGTGTATCATTTCAAACATCTCAGCTGCTCTGTCTTTAAAAGGGCCAATATTATGTGTTTCTCAGGCATACATTTAAATACCATAATAAAGTATCTGTCACTTTTAGCTGTTATTAAAATGCTGTTTTTATGTTTAAATAGAAAATAAACTTATCTTGTATTAGCATCACTACCTCTTCTAAATGCCTTGAAATTAGCCTCTGTCTCTTTAAGAACCACCTGCCGCTTCAGTTTTGCCCATTTCGGGGTGGGGGGGCTGCCATGATGAAGTTTACTTGGCTGCTGAAAAATACATTTCCTCAAAGGTATTTTTAATCTGAAAAAAGTGAGTGCGAACTATTTAATCTGAGTGAGAACTAAAGCTGAGAGCTCAGCTAACAGTTAGGTTTCACTTTCACTTTCACCCGAGAGCCTGCAGGAGTCATGGGTGGGGGGTGGGGGGAGGGGGTGCGCTCTGCCATGAGGAAGTTCGGCTTAAAGACACGTCCCAGGGGCTATCTGGTCCCAAAAGGCGTTTCTGGTCCCCACCTGTCGTTTTGCTCCTCAGCATGGCTTCCTAAAAACGCTGCAGGATTTCTCAAACATGCATGAATGAGTCAAAGCAAGGCTTTGGGCATGTTTTTTTTATGAGAGTATAACATTATAACGTGATATAAAACTCAAAAAAATTGATTTTACGTGACATTGCCCCTTTAACAAATCAGTTGTGTTACTGAAATGTTAAATTTTCTCCCCTCAAGCAGGACTCAGAGGCAGAAGATATGATAAGATTTTGGCTGTTGTCCAGCCTGGAACGGAAGACATCCAGCCCAAGGGTATCTCAGAGGAAGGAGGAGGATGTGTCACATCAGAGAAAATCACCTTCATCACCCTCAGAAAGTAAATATCATCATGTAATTTATAATGGTTTTTTAAGCTCTTATTAATTACTCTGCAAGGAACTGAATAAATCACTTCTGAAGATGTTTTTTTTCCCATCTTAGACTGATGGCTATCCTTAAAGTTTTTTAAACCATTTTGCTTCTCCTGCAACAAACGGTTTTACATATTGTAAACAAAATATTGTAAACACAAGAGTTAGAGCACATATAGTGTTCAGCAATACCAAATTTTATCAGCCAGAGATTAAAGAATTAATAATCAAACGGACCTGTCTTCCTCCAAGTCGGTACTCCAGCTCTGAGCAGTGTTATCTCAGTGGCACCACCTGCTCTCTGCATGATTGCTGTAGTTCATTACTGGGGTCTGAGGGGAGTGAAGGATAAACTAAAAGTGCAAAGGAATGACTTTGGCTTTTCTTTTTGGGCTTCTTAACCTTGGACGAGCTTTAGTTTACACTCATATCTGTTTAAAGACAGAAACTCGACACACATCTCTAAATCAGCGTTTGAAATATTTAAAATTGTTACTGCATGTGCTTATACAAGAAAAAGGTCAAACCAATATTCTTCTAATTTTGTTAGACTGATTGTAGCTTTCCTGTGGTATAAAAGTGTTTCAAACTTCAAGGTTTTGTCACTTTTTCAGGAGTGTTTGACTATCTTTTGGCCTTCTTGAAATACAGCTTGATCCTCCTCGCTACACAAGCTGTACAAGCTGTACCTGTTGTCACTTCACTGCACTTCATTCATGTGATGTCAAAAAGCAACTAAAATACATTCAAGACCAGGCGGATACTTTACATCTGACCAACCAGCATCTCCTGCAGTTCATTCAAAGAGGTCACCAAGCTGCAGTTGGGATTCGAGTACCTCAGCATAGATTGCTGTCCTTTCATGAGGCATTTTCTGACTGCAATGTTTTTCCTATTTCACCCATTCCTCCTATGATGTAGCCCTACTGCTACATTCACAGAAAGGAGGGGTGTTCCAATACTTTTTGTGATGTAGTTCAAAGTCGAAGTCAGGCTATGTGGTCCTTTTCAAACAGAGATTTTCCGTTTCATGCTGGACAACAGCCAACCTATTGTACAAAACATGTACACTAGGTTGCTTTCAGGCCCAGGCCTCCCTTGAAAAAGAGATCTGAGATCTCAATGGGACTTGCCTGGTAAAATAACGGTAAATAAATAAATAAATAAATAAATAAATAAATAAATAAAGTGGCACTCTTTAAATGAAGGGCTGTCAAAGAAAACAATGAATAGATTTTATTCTCACAGCTTTAATTTTTTTTGTTAGATGTTGGATCATCTATGTTTGATATCATTGAGGATTATTCGTAACAAACATTAAAAAAGCTTTATAATTCTCCAGTTAGTATGTTGAAGTTTTACTCACATCTTTAGGAGCCATTATATATATAT